GGAGGGCCCCGAAAGATGTAGTGGACCCGAGCAGATTATCGGATGGTCTCCGACAAGAGCGCAGTGCTCCAAATTCCAACACGAAGACCCAATGCATATATAGGGCCCCGAACAAACCAGTATGTAGCGGAGGAAGCAAACAGAGCCCCCCCCCCCCGAAATGTGCGCAGGGTCCTCCATCCAAATGGGAAGTACCCAATACACAGCGCGGAGGGCCCCCGAACGACGGAGTGTGCCCTTAGCAGGTTAACAGATAGGGCCCTCGACAAGAGCGTAGGGTCCTCCAATAGGAAGTACCCAAGACCCAACGTGGAAGGCCCCCAAATGATCGAGTGTGCCCGCGCATGTTATCAGATAGACCGCCGACAGGGGCGCAAGGTATTAATTTTCAAATGCCATATCTGCGGGGCTCTCAAAGAATCCAGTGTGCCCAAGCAGGTTAACAGATGGGGGCCCGACAAGTGTGTAGGGCCCTCCATTAAAAAAGAAAGTACCCAAGACCCAATTCTGATTGAGCGCCACGAAAGACCGAGTGTGCCCAAGCAGGTTAACAATTGGGCCCCCGACAAAAGCGTGGAGCCCTAAGCAAGCGACAGAGAATTGGAAGGGCCCTAGACCAATATAGAGGGTCCATGGGCATATCGCGAGTGTGTCGGTAGGTTAACCGAGACCAACGGCAAGGGCCCTGTGAATAACCGAAAATATCCCGGCAGGTGAACATTTGGCCCCCGGCTATAACATACAGAGCCTTTCAGGTGCATGCGAAGAACCTGTGAAAAGCCCCTGATTGACAAGAGCGACCCCGCACGCTAGCAGGAAGGGCCCAGCAACAACGCAGGGTCCTCTGAGCAAATGCAAAGGAATCGAGAGCAACGTGGAAGGTTCCTTAACGATAGGATTGAACCTGCGAATGGGTTTGAAGATCCCCGGAAATAGGATAGGGTCCCTGGACAGCGCAATGAGGCTTAGAATCTCCCAATCACCACCCGCTTAATCAGACAATAATTATTTTTCTCTACCCTTGGGTCCTTCACTTTCGCTTGTGACCGTTCTTGGTTGCCTGGAAGTTCAAAGGCGTCCAGTTGTGTTGCGTTTTGTGTGTGTTTTTAACTGAATATTTTTGGCTGGCTTTGGGCTCCTTCGGAGCCCTTGGACACCTTTGGTGCCCGGAAGGGGGGGGGGGCATGACCCCGTGCCCCCCTCTCTGGACTCGTCCCTGATCAAATGTGTCATGACCGAACCACGGACCCTTGTCATCAAAGGATTCTTGGTTGGTACTGTGGGCCCTTGACCGGTGCGGTAGCCCTCATCTTCTCAGTGGTCCCGACCAATGCGAGAGGCCCTCAGTGATAATCGCGGGTCTCGACCTTGTTCTGCTTCGGAAATAGGCCCCCAGCGCCCAGACCGATTCTGAGCCGACCGTTCGGTATTGATAGTATCTGACCGACAAAAAGACCCTCATCGTTCCAATGGACCCCGATCGGTGCAAGAGACCCTCTGTCGGATAGTTGATGGCCCTGCTCTTTGGCCAGTGTCCCTTTTTACGATCTCCACTTAGTCCTTTTGGGCAATCCAATCTGGCCCTGAATCGTCGGCACTGAGCGGTCCTTTTGTCCTCTCGTGACAAACGGAGGCGTGTGTCCCTTGCGCTTGCTACCTGCGCCCCTGACTCCTCCCCTGCTTACGCTTTGGTTCTGTTCCCATTCCCCCCCGCTTCCTCCTCCATCGTTATATGTGAACGACTTCTATGGTCGCGAACGCAAGAAGTGGGACAAAATATTGCATGGAGGCATCCAAAATAAAATTTATATTAATCGAGCGCACAGAATATGGTAGCAATGTATAGACGTTTATGGAGAGCGTGCGCGCCATTATAAACATTTCCCAGGCGTCGGCAGCGCGGAGAGGGTCCGTGAATTGGGGCTCTGGTGGTTAGGGGCTGTGAAATCAACTTTTAGGTGGTTTTCAATTAAAGGATCTTTCGGTTCGGTTGATTTGGACAGGCTTTGACGAGTGTGCTTGATTTACAAGCATCCAGAGCCTATAACCCTGGTTTTTGACCAGTGCCGAAAGTTTCGTAGCTCAAGATGGATGCCAGCGAGGAGCGTGCAGAAGGTCCTGAAGCCCAGAAGTCTGAGGCCTCAGCGTCAGCAGCGACTACTAATGGGAAAGTCAGTGGTGGCAAGTAAGTTTTTTGCTGTCATTGCTCTGTTGACAGAGCAATGACAATCTCGAATTGAATCTTGAATATGTCTTGAATCAATGTTAGTATAGTGGTCTGCTCCTATTGCCTCTGCATGTATGATAGACAGAATGCTTTGTAAGAATGTTAATTGTGACATTTTAGAAGCACTTTTTGCATTATGCTGTGTGAAAGCAGATTCCAAGCAGAAATATCCAGCATGAGGTGTAGGACCATAGTAGTATACTTTGGGAACACCATTCTGCAGCAAATCTATCCACTGTCAGATTTTTACCCAACATCTGTGCATTGGGCCTTATGCTCATGTACATCAAACTTGGCTAGGTCAAATTGTGCTGGATTTTTACATAATTTTTTATTAAAAATGTTTATACAGTTCTACCACTTTGTACTATGATGCTTGCCATTTGGTGATTACTGAGGGAGTCCTTAGTTGCTTGGTTACAAAATGACTGAATCAATCTGCATCCCAAAAATAGTGATCATAATCACTTATCAATTGAAGCTGGTGATAGTGACAACTAGGCCACAATTTTATCAGTGATAGGTGTGTAGTCCATATGTGTTGTAAATTATTTAATCTATAGTCTTCTAAAAGGATTGAGATGAGAGATTAGAATCACAGATAATTGTGTGGACTGTTGTCCATGTCCAGCATGTTAGTATGTACTCAATGTTTTGGCCAGGTATCTCTGGTTGCTGTCAGTTGTTATGCATACAGGGTATATGTCAATACATGCAGACAAAGGTTTGAATCTGAGCAATTTCTAGGGAAGAATTTGTATTGTGACATATGTGGCTGAAAGACAAATCATCCAGTCCCTCTCTGGATGCTATAACACCAGACAATGACCTGAGGGTTAACTGGCGAAAACATCGCCAACATGCGAACATGCCAGATGGGAGTGCTTTTCTGAACAATATTCTATCTTTGTCTAATTTATGTTGATGGCAAGTTGTCTGAGATTTGTGAAATTACTGGAATGAGTGATCATCAGCATGGTTGGGGCTTTGTTTTTCTCAGTTGCCTTGTGCCCTTATTAAACTTGGATATCACTAGTGCAGACCTTCAACTTGTGTGTTAGAATCCTATTCAGAAACCCGTCTGATGTTAGTGTAAGATGTACCACTCATAAAGAAGTTCAGTGTTTAAGTGTATGAGTGAACAAAACAGTTTGTGCCTGTGGATATTGCCCAAAGGCATGCCTATAACATGCTAAACAAGTGCTGGTAGCACATCACTCTAGCAAAATGCATCTTATGTGTTTAGGTGGCGATGCATCTGGGCAATGTAGCATGATATTATGCCAGTCAGTGGATGTGTCTCATGACATCACTGGGTCATCTCAAAGTGCATGTTCTTGATTGCCACTACAATAGTAAGAAGCTTCATGGGCTGGTATTGTATCATCTTCTTCCTTTTACCATGAAACTGTATATATCAAAGTACCAGTTTACAACATGTACTACCAATTTTGATCATAAGGGTAGGATTACATCACATTGCCTTGGAATTAAAGCAGCATAACACCCCACCCCATGTCAGCCTATCATGCTTGCACAACAGTGAGCTGGAACAATTAAGATTGAACTCAATTTGTGGTTGATTATAGTGCTGAATATAGCATTTAGGCAGCATGCAGTCATTCTATTAATGTTTTTGTTGTGCTAGATCATGATATTGTGTATGATACCTAGAATTATGATTGGCCAGAGTTGAGTCATCCTAATCACCTTGAAGATAAGCAGGCCACATTACTGACTGCACCACTGTTAACCACCACATTACTCACAGAGCAGTGAGAAATTAGCCCAAATCAGGGTAAAGCAGGCCCATCTCAGGCATTGCTTGTGAAGGCCTGCCCTCAGCAAGCCATCGCCAGCGCTGCAGTGTTTCGCTGATCGGCGTCTCGTCGGGCCCGTGGTGTCGAACGATCGCGGCCAGACGTGTTAGGCCACCGGTGCACGCGCTGCGCGCCGGCAAGACGCTGGCAGCCGCGATGAGCCGTCACCATGGGGCGGGTGCTGGGGAGTGGGTCGGTGCAGGCCCCGCGTGGGCTTCCCCCGATGAGTCACCGCCGCGGGCGGTCTCGTGCGTTCTGTGGCGGCGCACGCTGCGGTGGGGCTGCCTGCACGGGTGGCTGGCTGGTCAGTCACGCGCTCCCCGGAGGGGGGGGGGGTGGGGGGCGAATCCCGGCGTGCGATGGCCCCGGAGCATTGATGGATCATACCGATGTTGTGCGAAGACGAAGACTTTGCTAAAAGCCGCTGTTGCCCGCCAACGTTTTGAAAGAACTTTGTTATTCTGTCCGACATTTTTTTTCGGGTCCGCTTTGATTCCGAGGTCACGGAGGTCACGTTTTTTTCGGGCAACAGGAAGTGGAAGAAGGGCAAGAACCCCGCTGAGCACAAAGGCGCCGACGGGGTCGTGACCAAACAGCAGCGTGCCAACCCAATGAAGAACCTGATAGACCTGCAGAAGGCCATGGAGATGTTCTCGCCTTCCGGGCCGAGCCAGCACCAGGGCCCGGCCAAGACGTCGGAGGAGGCTAGGCGGAAAAAGTACCAGTTCTGGGAGACGCAGCCTGTGCTGAAGATAGGGGGTAAGTGAGGTTCGGGATGCCTGTATGTAGTTTGTGTTGTTTACTCCAACCACTGGGGTCAGAGGTTGCGTTGATCGGCGGGAACTCAGCAGTTTTCCTGTTTCTCTCTGGCCAGACTGTGAGAGAAGTAAATATCTGTGGTGAAATCAATCTGGGTGTCCCGTAGCAAATCAATGTATACCAGATAAGCCTATTCCTTTGGAACTGCAACCAGGCAGTGTACCCACTTTCATGTACGGTTTCATGTCGGTTGGTGCCGATTTTATGTTCGAGCATGTTTGATAGCAAAATTTGCGTTTAGAAGTCAACTCGTCCCAGCAAGTGTTGGTTAATGCTTCTTTTCGTTGGTAATTTTCCATTTTTAATCATGTTTTCGCTTCTGCGCATTAAACAGAAGTACCGCCGGCCCGTTGTGTATGTCAGTAGCGCGCGCTGACGACAAAGGTTCTATGAGAGTGTGATAGATGCTTCAGATGTTATGCATTGACCGGCGATAGCGACGTTACCTCCGCTGTCGCCATTGGCCATAATCGTGTGAACGGATCAACGTCATTGCCGGACGAAGCCTCCCGATCTGTCATCATCACTGCCCAGCCCGAGGCCCCCGATCTGCCATCACCACTTCCCAGCCCGAGGCCTCGATCTGTTATCACCATTACTCAGCCCGAGACTCTCGATCACCACTTCCCAGCTCGAGGCCACCGAGCTGATGTCGTTTCCCAGCCCGAGACTCCCGATCTGCCATCACCACCGCCCAGTCCAACGCCCCCGATCTGCCATCACTTCCCAGCCCGAGACCCCGGATCTGTCATCACCATTTCCCAGCCCTGAACCTCCGATCTGCCATCACCAGTGCCCAGCCCGAGGCCCCGATCTGTCATCATTACTGCCCAGCCCGAGACTCCCGATCTGACATCACCACTTCCCAGCCCGAGGCCCCCAATCTGCCATCACAACTTCCCAGCCTGAGACTCCCGATCTGACATCACCACTTCCCAGCCCGAGGCCCCCAATCTGCCATCACCACTTCCCAGCCCGAGGCCCCCAGTCTGCCATCACAACTTCCCAGCCCGAGACTCCCGATCTGCCATCACCACTTCCCAGCCCGAGGCCCCCCGATCTGCCATCACCACTGCCCAGCCCGAGACTCCCGATCTGCCATCACCACTGCTCAGCCCGAAACTCCCGATCTGTCATCACCATTTTCCAGCTCGAGACTCCCCATCTGTCATCACCACTGCCCAGCCCGAGACTCCCGATCTTCCATCACCACTGCCCAGCTGTCCCGTCGCTCCCACTGCTTCTCTGCGCCTCCGCACCTCTCCCTCTCCCCCCCCCCCCTCCCCCACCCCCTCCCATGGGTGGCATGTGCCGCGTCGCGTCTGTCCGCCGCCCCCACCGCCCGCTCTCGGCGCCAACAGAAGAGACGACGTCGGGGAATGAGCCGCTGGAGGCGGACAAGGCCGTGAGCGAGGTGCGCGCCGAGCCCTACTCCCTGCCCGACGGCTTCCAGTGGGACACGCTCGACCTGGACGACCCCGAGCAGGTGGGCGCCGGTGGGCCGGCCGCGCAGCCTGCCGGCCCCGCGGCTGGCGTCACGGCCGCGGGGGGGAACTGTGTGGTGCGGAGAGGCACGAGTTACAGCCGGGAGCCCCAGACCTGTGTGGGCTGGCTTGCCATACTTTGTTGGTGTCGGTGGAGGAACGTTGCCATGCGGCACTGGCCGTTGAAAGTTTCCGGGTGTTTCGAAACCTTGACATTGTCAGCGCTCCTCAAACTGCGCAACAGCTAGGTGGGATGCGATGAAGTTATCGCTGGAGCTGGATTCACAGAACCAGCCCAGTAATCATTGTTATGATAATCAAAAGATATGGGATCAGGTTGAGAACATCTGATAAGATGTTTCCAACACGATAAGATGTCTACCCGTTCGTCTTCCGACAAGACGTTAACTTTTCCTGAAGACAGCAGTACTCGGCGCGCCCCGGAGTTTGCAAAGCTCGACTTAAACACGAACATGATTATAAAACAGGAAAAGCAAGTGCCTGAATTGTTTACATACACTGGGACATGTTCGTTTCTCAACTCGCGAAGTATCCTTGTCACTATACTTGTTTCGTGTGGTGGACGAAAATCAACGGTATTGTGCTAGTGTGTGCCCGCAGACGGTTCCCCGCGTCGTGCCTAACACGCTTGTCTGCGGCAGCTGAAGGAGCTGTACACGCTGCTGACCAACAACTACGTCGAGGACGACGACAACATGTTCCGCTTCGACTACTCGCCCACCTTCCTCGATTGGTGAGGCGGGCCGACCTGGTCCTTCGGCGGCGGCCGCGGCGGCCGTGTGCTGCTCGCTCTTGTCCCCTCCTCTGCCCCCGTCGCTCTTGGAGGCAGCGTACCGGGGTGTTTAAGTAAAGCCATTTCAGCTATTGGTGGCAAGTTCAGAGGGTTATGGGGTGAAGGAGAGGGGATAGCGGCGGGGCGTGACCACGCGCACCAGGGAGTGCTCAGAGGCTCAGCCTGCGCAGCGACCCCACCCGAGGGTATGTGCGGGAGCTGGGACCCGCCAGGTGCCACTTCAGCCCACTCGTGGCTGATGCACGCGGTCGGCTCCAACAGACGGGACGCTGCGGCGGCGTAGGGTAGAGCGTGAACGAGCGACCAAGGGGGATGCGCACATGGCTTGCCCACGGTCATGGTGGATATGTTGAGTGAGCGGAGGGCTTGCTGGTGAGACGTTGCCTGAAGTCGTGCTTGCACGAGATGGAGCCATGTGGTGTGTATCATTGGATGGCTTCCGTCGTGCTCGTGAATCCCGACTGGAACGGGAAGACAGTCACCAACAGTCGCCAGCGGAGGGGCTGTGCGTGATCGGTGTGCGCGCTCCGCCACAGGGCGCTGCGCCCTCCCGGCTGGCAGACCGACTGGCACTGCGGCGTCCGCGTCACCAAGTCCAGGAAGCTGGTCGGCTTCATCTCCGCCATCCCGGCCACCATCCACATCTACAAGCGGTGAGAGCCGGCCGGAGGGCGTTCGACTGACCTTTGATCCGTCCGTGCTGGGGAGGTTGGCATGTGTTACTTTGCAGCGATAGATCTCGGTTTGATCCCCCCTGTGAAACATCGCATGCCTTGCTTGCACGGAAGCGGGGAGACGCGGCGGATCTAAGTGCCGACGTGCATGGATAAGCCGCTATTACCATATTTCAAAGTAAAGACTTTGGCGCACTCTGAGCGTGTTGGACCGAGCCTCAAGCTGGTCGGTCAGCGGTGACCTCAGAGTGTGCGGGTCGTGACTCCTTGTGAACGGAGCGTGACGCCAGCCTGCTTGTGACGTCTGTGAGCCGGCCGCGAGCTCAGTGTGACCGCCGTGAGCACAGTCCGTGACCTTTGCCCTTGCCGTCGCGTCTCACAGGGAGCAGCGTATGGTCGAGGTCAACTTCCTGTGCGTGCACAAGAAGCTGCGCTCCAAGCGCGTGGCGCCCGTGCTCATCAAGGAGATCACGCGGCGGGTCAACAAGACGGGTGTGTTCCAGGCGGTCTACACGGCCGGCGTTGTGCTCCCGAAGCCGGTCGGCACGTGCAGGTGAGACCCGCGGCCGCCCGCGTGGTGGTGGGGGAGGGGGGCGCCGCAGGGGCGTGGGAGGCTACCAGGTGTCTGGAATTGGCGATAGATGTTTGTGAATCGAGTTGGCCGCTGCGGAACCAATGAGCTGCCACGCGAGGCCGGACTGTATTGGCCAGGTTTAGTAGATGCTAGGTTGACATGTCATCGCTCCCTGTTGGGGAAATTTTGGGAGGCTGAATGGGGCGTGTGGAGTCTGAGTGGATCTAGGGGAGGGAGGGGTAAGATACGGGCTTTGCTGGCCCCTTGCACTGATGTATGCTGTACCACGGTGAAAATTTCTGTGAACATTGCGGAGAAACATGAAGAAACGTTTTGTGAGCGTAGATACGCAAACTGAAAAATATTCCCATGCCGGAAACCACCTGGCCGACTAAAATTCAGCGTCCTCTGTCACCACCATAACTTGATGGTGTGCGTGGTGGCGATCACCACGCCGTGAACCATGCTGTGTGCAGTCATACAGTAGCCACGCCGGGGTCCCCCCCCCCCCCCCCCCCCGGTTGGCTGGCTATTGGAGTCCCCGGGTTGTCTGACTGCTGGGAGTACCTCTGGTGGGCTGACTGCCGGGAGTGCCTCCGGTGGGCTGGCTGCCGGGAGTGCCTCCGGTGGGCTGGCTGCTGGGAGTGCCTCCGGTGGGCTGGCTGCCGGGAGTGCCTCCGGTGGGCTGGCTGCCGGAGTGCGGCGAGCCGGCGCGCCTCGCCAAACTTCTGACACCGGGCCCCTGCCCTCGCGCCCCACCAGATACTGGCACCGCTCGCTGAACCCCAAGAAGCTGATTGAGGTGAAGTTCAGCCAGCTGTCGCGCAACATGACCATGCAGCGGACGCTGAAGCTGCACCGGCTGCCGTCCGAGACGGTCACCGACGGCTTCCGCCGGCTCGAGGAGGCCGACGTGCCGCAGACCATGAAGCTGCTCAACCACGTGAGTCGCGCGCGGAGGCGAGGCGCGCAGCGTGGAGCGCCCCGCTCTGCGCCCCGCGCGCCGGCCGAGTCGCCGTGTCGGGACGCGGCAGCCTAGCGTGGCCCCGTGTATGCGCCGCTGTCGCCGCCATCGCCCCCGCCGCTGTTGCCGCTGCTTCTGCTGCTACTGCTGCTGCTGCTGCCGCCAACCGTACCTCCCTGCTGCCCGGCAGTACCTGAGCCAGTTCGACCTGGCGCCGCACTTCGACGAGGCTGAATTTCGGCACTGGTTCACGCCGCGGCCGACCATCGTGGACAGCTACGTGGTGGAGAAGGAGGGAGAGATCACAGGTACGGCCGCCGGGCGGAGTGGACGGTGCTGCTGCCGGCCGACGGCGCCGGGCCCGGGGAGGCGGCGGACTGGACGCGGGGCCTGGGGAGGCGGCGGAGTCTGGACGCGAGGCCTGGGGAGGCGGCGGACTCTGGACTCTGGACGCGGGGCCCGGGGAGGCAGCGGACTCCGGACGCGGGGCCTGGGGAGGCGGCGGACTTTGGGCCGTTGATGATTCCGGCGAGTAGCCAGACTCGTGCCGCCGCCGAAAGGAAGGAAAGAAGGACCGTGTCAAGTCGAACTTTTCCCAAATCAAACATGTCATAAGCTTCACAGCTGTTGCCAAACTGATGCGCGTTGTCAAGCTCGCCGCTTACATCGCTAGTTAGATGTTTCCAAGACGATTGAATGTTTAGACGGCAACGTGGCCGGCGAGAAAGTAGTTGTTTCAAGGTGCGAAGGACTCTGGCCGCTAAGGTTGCGTTGGGGACGAGTGAAGCACGGATCTGGTAAGTCGTCGGCAACATTCTTGTGCTCATGTTACTCTCCCACCAACGGCTCCATGGCCTGCGGTGGTGGCGGCGGCGCGCTCGGAAGTCCGTCGCCTCACCTCGTGCGCGCTGCTGCCTGGCTGTGTCCCAACGCGGCGCACGTGGTGACGCGCGGCCCGTGTCCACCGCCGCAGACTTCGTCAGCTTCTACAGCCTGCCGTCCACCATCATGCACCACGCGACGCACAAGCAGCTGATGGCGGCCTACTCGTTCTACAACGTCGGCGGCAGCACGCCGCTGCTGCAGCTAATGCGAGACGCTCTCATCACAGCTAAAAACGTGAGCGAGCCGTGCGCGCCGTTAAACCGAGGCGCTTCCGGCGCCTGTGTCCGAGAAATCGTGTAGCTCCGACTGCAGCGATGAGCTGGCCATTGTTTAGGAGCAACGCTGGCCCCTGGTGTTTTTTGTTGTGTTTATCTAAACGGCTTCGTCCAAATGTGAGCCCGTCCACGGAGGCAGGTTGCGAGACGCGACGGACTGGACAGCCCGCGCGCGCGTGCGGATAAGCCGGTGCTTCTTGTGGCGGCCGTACGGCCCGGTGTGCCGTACCGCCTCAGCCTTGTGGCCCGCTGACCTGGGCGGAGTGGGCAGAGCCGTCTCTGCCAGGGCCGTGCCGCTCAGACCGCTCAGTGGCCGTGTCCTTGGTCGGAGAAGCGGCTCCTGCTGCGCGTGTCCCGGAGGTCAGAGGTCGGTCGCTATCGGCCAGTTGGGGCCGAAAGCAGAGATAACGAACGCGTTTGCGTTCTTCCGCCACCGGGGCATGAATGTTGTCCGGTTGTTTTGGAGCTGCGGCCCCGCCTCCCCCCCCCCCTCGTGCTGATGTCATCAGTGACGCAGCGCCGCGTGGCGGCGCCGGAAGCTGCCGCGACGAATTGGACAGGATGACTTGCAGGGAACAATGCGAGATTGGACTGCAGTGGCTGTGACCTTGGCCGTGGGAGCAATTAAGCGGCTTTCATTGAGCTTGATGTTGGCTTTGAAGAAACGTGACTGGAATGGCTAGCCAGCTACGTAAGAACTTGTATTGGGAGGTTTTGAGGCAGTCGCAGGGTAAAGTATAGTATAGTTAGCCTCAGTATAGTTCAGCGTCTTTTAGTTTTCATGTATACTAGCAGATGACATGCTCTGTATATTTCGCAACAATGTGCAGCGCGCATCACCGCCGTGCAGCCCACGTGAGTGCCATTGCGTCGGCTCTGTCACTCCGAGGCCTGTGTGAGTCCTGCAGCGCAGACGATCGTAGACGCTGGGTGTCCCGCCTGTACTGCTTGCAGTCATTACGCTACCGCAATGTGAAGGAAATCTACCGCTTTCTGGGACGCCCCGCCGACAGGAGGGCTTTGACGTGTTCAACGCCCTGGACCTGATGGAGAACAAGACGTTCCTGGAGCCGCTGAAGTTCGGCATCGGCGATGGCAATCTGCAGTACTACCTCTATAATTGGAAGTGCCCTAGCATGGAGCCCAAGCAGGTGATTGGGGCGGGCTTCCCGAAGAACTCTGGTTGGGGTTTGAACTGGAAAGGCGGGTGTGCTTTGCTGCTGGCCGAAATTTCGATTGGCAAAGGGCGAAATGCTAAGGCCATGAAATGTAATTGTGAGATGGAATGTCGTGAGATGAAATGTCCTTGTGGGCTTACATCTCTGGTCGTTTGTAAACAAGCCTGCCGGGCCGGGTGGGGCCATTGGGCAGGAGCTGCCAAAAATCTGGTGGTTAGCTTGTGTTGGGGTTTTCGTGGCATGAGATTAATGTGACTGGCAGTCGTTGTCATCCATGAGAATATCGATAGTAGGCGTTCAGTAATTTAGTGGTGAGAGGGAAGAAAACTAGACGCAATCGCAAATAAAGATTTTCGGATCGGGGTGCGCCTTGGACACACTGCCAGTACAAAAGGCCCCAAGTACACTAGGGGATGTAGAGCCATGTGTTAAAAGGACAACGAAATATCATGTTATCGCTACGTTCTCGAATTGAAGCGTCGGCTCGTTTGGGTTACATGTTGAGCTGCAGGTAAGGTGTCATCGCAACTATTACATGTGCCACCTTCAGTACAGAATGGATGCTCATTCAATGGTGTACTTGCTGCTAGCATAGCCTCTTCGCCGTTAAGTAAACCTTCTGGCGGCGGGGATAAACACAGCTTTTCAGTCGGGTGTGTTGACTGACGAGACATGTCGCACCCGGTTGGATATCGAAACTCAATGCTTGTTATGCTCACTAAGCAATGGTGCATGGATACTTTTTCCGCCATGTTGAGTGGAGACTGAGTATTGGGTGCGTGTTGCATGTTACTATCGGATATTATATTTCTTTTCATTTTTGCTTCGCTGGTTTTTGTTCAGCTCTAAACCCACCGTGCCTTTCGTTTTCAGATTGGCCTTGTGCTGCAATAGTTTCCCCGGCGTCTGTTGGTGCTGCCACCTATCGCCTGATGGCCGAACCAGCACGCCGGCAGCGCCACCTGTCGCCGGAAACGAACGCCACGTGTGGCCGGCGCGGCCCGTCTCAGCGTGTGCAGACCGTCGGCGCACGCCATACCCCTGGGGGGCACGGGTCGGCCGGCATCCGGCAGCAGCCGCTCCAAAGAGCCGGCGCAGGCGTCGCTCGCCCCGCCCGGAGCTAGAGGCCTGCCGTCCGACAGCGCCGGCCGTCTGTTGACTGGTGCGCGGTTTTTGTGTTCTGTACGCAGGGAACTGCGGGTTGGCGCCGCGCGGTGAGGTACTATTTACCCGTCTGCGTGGTGTGCTTGGCGACTTGTTATTCTGCGTATGGACTGGACGGAGGGGCGCGGGGTCGGCGCGCCCGGTGAGGGCGTCCGGGGCGGCGTCGCGTCCGGCTGTGACGCCCCGGGCAGGCGCGGCGCGCAGATGGCTGGCTTGGGACGCCGCAGAGGCCCATGGCGTCAGCCGTGGCGCAGTCCGCTTGTGTCGCGGACGGCATTTCTTGAACATTCGCTGTGGTGATCTAGTCTGTACATTCTGATAACTGCGCCATACCAGCGGTCGTGCCCCCCCCCCCCCCCCCTACCCCTGGTATATCCTACCAAAATCCGGTCTCCCAGTCCGGCAGGTCGTGGCTGGGCCACTGCTTATACGTGCTTTGAAAAATTGGCATGGTTTTATTTTGGTCTCTAAATCACAGGAACAAGTCCCTTGCCGGTGTTGTGGATCCACTCGCACAGAGTATGGTCTGTGAGCTGTTTTATCAAGTTTTCAGTGGAGATGCTACGCCATCTCCATGTCCCTTTTTGACGTATATTCCCACACTCGTGGTGGGATGCGTCGGCTTGCGAATTGACCACGCGCTCGCTTCTTCTCGCCCACTGGCCTCCTCGAACTGAGGCTGACATCTGCGGCCGCGGAGGGGAAGAGGGACGGCTGACGTCACGGGTCGAGATCGGAGTACCGCGCCATGGGCGTGCTCTGATGGCACTCCGGTGCCCACCCGCCGCGAGACACGCCGTCCTCCTCCGTGTGGCATGTCCGCGCTCGTCCTCGGAAAAGACGGCGCACCCCGCGGCATGCGATGGCCCCAGAGTGTCTCGGCCGCCTCGCCACACCCGCCTGCCCTGCCCGCCGCGCCCGACGCCACTGCTTGCGTATGTATATTGTGAGTGCATTGAGCCGGGGACACTGGCGTTTTGTACAGGCGTGAATGGTACGAATACACTCGAGTGCACACATCGAACTGTGGTGACAACTGGCCTGAGGGGGGAAAGGCGGCCGCCGGAAGAGGCCGCACGTCTTGTGATGCTGCTGGGGTGACGACAGTAGATGGTCATCAGTTAGCAGCGGGTGGATATCAGTCTGATGTCACGGAGTCCTGGGAACCACTCGGCAATCGTAACACCCTTAGAAACCCATGTAAATGGATATGGGCAATGCATTGGAAACGCTAGACTGGCTTTCATGGTAGATCCGCTGACTGAAAGGTCCACTAGGGTAGCGTTTGCCCTTCCAAATCGCGAGTATAATTGCTCGAAACTGGTTGGCTACGGGTCTGGCAAACATAGCCGACAGTGCCGGTCATCTGGCAACAATGCCCATCGTCAAAATCGATCGTCGCATGGGGCAAAGAATGTGGCAGCGCCGGCGTCAAACTGGCGGGAAGTTTTTTGGAAGTTTTGTTGCTTGTCTTCTGAGCATCCATGTGTCAGCCTTCAAGAGGCCTACGAGACAGACCGGACCGCTGAGAACATAGCCGATCACCGCACCGCTCGACCTGTTTTCAAATCTGTGGCTAACTCCAGGTATCGCGGATACTTGACTGGATTGGTGCGTGACTTTAAGGACAATCCTAAACGGTACTGGTCATTTGTGAAATATTTGAAATCGTCCGCGCATGTTTCCCCTGTTCTCGAATATAACGGCAATGTGTGCAAGGGTGATGTGGGGCGGGCCAACTGCCTAAATGAGTGTTTTTCCAAAAAGTTTTGTGACCCTACAGTCAGGATTCTGCCCGACCCGCCATTGTCCGATGCACCCGGGCTAAACTGCTTTACCGTGCCGCATGGTCGGATAGCACAGCTGTTACGCGGTCTGTGTACGCATAAGGCCTGTGGTCCTGATGGACTAAGAGCCAGGATCTTGCGAGAGGGTGCCGATGAGCTGTCTGTACCGATCCAAATGATATGCAATTATCAGTTAGATCCGGCATATTTCCCACCGTGTGGAAATAGGCTAATGTGGTTCCGGTGCATCAAAAAGGCTCGAGAAAGTCACCTGATAATTATCGACGTGTATCACTGCTGCCAATTTGCTTGAAGATTTTAGATAAGGTCGTTCGTGATAGCCTACCTGCGTGCCTTCTAGTCATACCATCACCCCAATACTGTTGTCTTCCAAGACGATCCTACATCACCAACCTCTCCTGGTTTCTTGTGCACTGCTGGAGCTCAATCGCCCGAAGCGAACAGACTGACGCCATCCACACAGACTTCTCCTCGACGTTCACCAGCGTCAACCATGTAACTCTGTTGCACGAGCTTCAACACTCTTTCGGAACGACTGGTGTCGCGTACGACTGGCTTGAGTCGTACCTGACCAATTGCAAGCAGCGAGTCATCCTGAACGGCATGCGATCTGACTGGGCTCCAGTCCTACCCGGCGTACCAGAGGGCAGTAGCTTAGGACCGCTGCTGTTCGCACGTTTTCTGGCGGACCTATCCAGCCGCATGGCAAGCGAGTGCATCATGTATGCCGATTATGTAAAACTGCCGCTGCATTGAAAGCAGCGCAGACTGCGTAGCCTTCCAGTTGGACTTGGATCCCCTCTGCGACTGGTCTCGAACCTGTGGACTCAGTCTCAACCCAGTAAAAAGCAAATTAATTTCCTTCACACTATATCTCTCCTGTCGTCCATCAGTACACAAAAGACGACCATTACGTGGAAAGGTATGATCAGACCCGTGACCTCGGCGTTCTGTTAGACGCAAAGCTCCCTTTTACATCACATGTTGACGCTGCGATCAAAGCTAACGGAATGCTTGGATTTATCGCACGCAGCATGCAAATGCAGAAGTCCCCACGCCGAGCGCGTTTCAACCACAGCCTTGGTCGATCCGACCGACACATGAGCGTTGAACTCGATTCGCGTTCAACGCTCATGTGAGGTTGGTCAAGTATGGCAGCGTTATTTGGGGCGGGCTGCCATCACACACCTTGCTCGATTCGAGCGACTCCAGCACAGGTTTTCCATGCGGCTGGCCGCAAACACCAGGTGTCAGTGCCCTTCTCTGTTGAAAGTATGAAAGTATGAAAGTATTTCCCTACATTTCCGCACGCCATCAACCAAGGCACGATTAGTGCAGTCCGATCTTCTAGTCATGCACAAGATGTTTCACCATCAGCTAGACGGCGCCCAGTTGACCACGCTGTTCGGCCTGGCAGCACCAGTAAGACGTTCGCGCCATATTGGTCTCTTCCACGTGCCGTTTGGAAGTGTCAGCCCGTAAAAACAGAATCCTTGTCCGCATTCCCGTCACCTGCAGCTGCCCTCTTCAGGATATCCAAACAGCCGGCTTTTTCATCCGCTGTCGTTCCGTTCCAATGCCCGCAGGTCTACCAGCAGTGTGCGCACATTCAACTAGTCGATCTGCTCGCCGAGGGCTGAGAGCGCGAGAGCGTGTGTGTGTTTAGTGTGTTTACGCGCGTGTAGTTATTGCTTTTCAGCCTATTGACTGCAACCGTAACTGGGTGCCTATTGAACCTGTTGATTTTTTACGCGAAATAACTATAGTAAAAAAATAAACAAGTCTTCAGTAGCTAGCAATTTCGTTTATTTAAGGACTAAACGCATCTATCTACTCTCAAATATAGTACCTCACATCGAAGAGCCGATCCTGAAACTTCGCATCTTGACGTTCTTTCAAACCGGCTTGCCTTGAACATCAGGTGGCATTACAATTATTCCTTTCACAACAGACTTGAGGGATGTAACCATTGACCTGCCACTCTCCTCTGGCCTGCCGGAGCTCAGCAGAAGTCAGTCCTTGTGCATACGGAACTGGCGACAGGACGTATCAACCCCAATCATTGCTCGGTCCCATTTTGACGCTTCGAACAGGCTCGAAAAAACAACTTCCGCTGTACTCAAATGTATAAATAAGCGACGACCTGAGGACACCAGTCGTTGACGCAGTGACACCAATGCCGCTGCAACGTGGACACTCAGCCAGGGCCAGCCCCTATCACAGATGCACTGGCCGGAGCGACCGCCCTAAACGGCACGGGGCCGTCAGCCGCCGCCGGCGGCCTCAGTCGGTCTCATAGCCTCAGCACGCCGTCCGCCGCCTTCAGCGCGGCGACGGCGGCGCGCGCACGCTCCTCCAGCGTCGCCACCGTGTCCGCGTCGGCCAGCTTCTGTTTGTTGCGCAGCACGAAGTGGTGCAGGAAGAGCACCAGGCTGTCGCGCATGTGCTTGAGCGGCGCGCCGGCCGCGCGCTGGAAGAGCGAGCGTACAGCCCGCTCGTCCTCGGACTGCAGCAGCAGCGCCAGCAGCAGCTGACGCAGGAAGCGCACCATCGGCTTCGACATCTCGGAGAACTCCACCACCTGCCGGCGCGGCGGAGCGGAGGTCGGCGAGCGTGAGGAGGGCACGACTCGCCGGTGATGGAGGGAGGGGCTGCGGCGTAGTGTGGGTCGGCGGAGCGTGAGGGGGACACGACTCGCCGGTGATGGAGGGAGGGGCTGCGGCATAGTGGGGGTCGGCGGAGCGTGAGGGGAACACGACTCGCCGGTGATGGAGGGAGGGGCTGCGGCATAGTGGGGGTCGGCGGAGCGTGAGGGGAACACGACTCGCCGGTGATGGAGGGAGGGGCTGCGGCATAGTGGGGGTCGGCGGAGCGTGAGGGGAACACGACTCGCCGGTGATGGAGGGAGGGGCTGCGGCATAGTGGGGGTCGGCGGAGCGGGAGGCGGACATGACTCGCCTGTGATGGAGGGAGGGGCTGCGGCGTAGTGGGGGTCGGCGGAGCGTGAGGGGGACACGACTCGCCGGTGACGGACGGCGGGGCGCGGTGGTGCGGTGTCTGTGGGTGGGTGGAAGCAGATACCAGCAGGACAGTCGCAGGCGATGACGTCACAATGGCCCGGAAAAGTGCTCACTTTTCGGGCTACCCAAGGTCACGTGCCTGAATAATAATCCACCCGTGATGTTTAGTTATCTCTGAGGTAAGCAAAATCAAGAAGACTACTGCGACCACCACTGACTTCCTTAATCACCTTAACGTATACACGCATACCTTGAGTACCGCGATGCTTAGCTGGGTCGTTGAGATCAGATGAGCTAGAATTTTGGCCAAGTTGCTGGCTGGACCTGAGCCTAAGCTAGCCAGCTGCTTCAGATGCTCCCAGACCGCTATTTTGACTCGCATCTGACGGATCCAGAGCACAGATGACTGAAGAACTATAGGTGACAACAGACATGCAGCGGCGACGATAAGAATGTCAGGATGCGACTCACTGACCAACACCAATTGATCGACCCTTCCCAACCTGCCGCACACAGCACTGTCGACGGTCGCGCCAACACATCACCTCACTAAAACACTGCCACCGACACAGAAGCGCTCGCGTTGGGACAACAAAGAAACCGGTTTCCACACTTCAGCCAGCCCATTTCTAACGCCGCTGAAACAACGGCCCGCGAGAAAACACTCAACGGCAGCCAGCCGCCGGCCCCACTCCCAAGCGGACCGGGTAGACAGCCTGGTGCCAGGCCAGGCTCCTCCGGCACCGCCCGACACCCTGCCTCGAGGCCCGAGGCCGCAGCACCAGCCGCTCAGCCGCTCAGCGCGCGCGCCGCACCTGGTACTTGCGATCGGCGGCGCACAGCCGCTCCAGCAGGTGGCTGTAGTAGGGGTTGAAGGTGCGCTCGCGCAGCGCGCAGCCCAACACGACCGTGGCCATCTCTTGCTCCTGCTGCGGGCCGCGCAGGCCCAGCCGCATCAGCTTCTCGAAGCAGTCGAGGTAGTCCTGAGGCGCGGCCGCCGACAGGTTAGCGGTCTGGGGTGGGGTTGGGCGGGTGCAGGCGTGCCTCCGGCACATTCAGAGCCTTGGAGGCCTGTCGCGCGTCGAGACAATCGCTCGCCTGCTTTGGCTGACACCACTTTCGGGATGTGGGTCGAGGAAACACATGCTGTTAGGTGCATTGGGAAGCATACCACTTGTTAAATGACAAACAAAAGTGTCATTCGTCTTTCAAGTTTTCTCCAAACATGTAGTCTAGCCTTTTAGTCAATTCGGTTTTCCTTACACAAACCTTCACGCGCATAGGCAAAAGAACCAGAGTTTCCGGTCCAAGACGATGCTTCATTCATTTTACAAATGTACTGACCCTGTTTTGCGCCACTAATGACAATGAAATCTCCCAGTCCCACTCCTCTCGCTCTTGTCTCACGGCGCGTTGACTGCACCAGTTCCCTCCCTCCCTTCATCAGCCCATCCCTCCCTCCAGAGCACCGTTCCCCCGCTCACCTCCGCCGTCATGAGGGCGCAGAAGACGTGGCGCCGCAGGTCGGTGTTCATGCGCTGGCGGCGCGCCAGCTCCAGCAGCTCGGCCGAGTACTGCTGGCCGGCGGCGGGCAGCCTCGGCCGCGCGCCGTCCGCCGCCTCCTCCTCCCCGGCAGCCGGCTGCTGGCGCTCCTTCAGGGAGCCGCTCCAGGCCGAGCCCACCACCCACCACTTGCCGCGCTCCTCGGCTGGCGGGGAAGGGGGGGGGGGGGTGAGAGGCGCTCACTGGCGAGTGGGAAGATCAGTGGAGAGCGGGGCGCTTTGGGGCAGGTCAGCGAGACCGGAGGGAAGGGCCGACCAAAGGGGATGTAATAGGCGGCAAGGGGCGGGACGGTGAGTGGAGAGATGAGGAGTGAAACGATGGAGAGACGGATGACAGTATATGAGGCCCCCCATTAGTAAATATGGCACCGCTACTTAATAAAAACAAAGTAAAGCATAGCAACACCGCAGCTTAAGCTTAAGGGTGCCATATGTCATGGGAGGTCCTAAAGAGGACGGTTGTGCACAAATATTCCGTAGCGTTTTCGTAGATGAACGTAGGTACTTTCCAAAAGCATACCAAAGCGATTTGCATTCAGGCATTGTATGTCTCTCAGGTAACACTACCAACCTTTCCAGCTCCTCACCTTTGAGCAGATCCTCCAGCGAGATATTTAATTCAGTGATGGTCTGGTTGGGGTTCACCAACGTCTTGAGCAGCTTGTTCAGCTCCTGGCCGAGACCCGGGTCATACTGCGGTATCTTGTTGATGTTGTTGTTGCGCAGAGCCATGACGATGTCCAGCAGAAAACGAATCCGACTGCTGAGAGCAGTGAGCCGAGCGACCGGGTTAGAGTGCTTCGCTACAACTCCGTGCACTAATTTCGCGGTGCACCACGGCACTTTATCGTCAGACAATGAAGGGAAAAGAAAAATAGCGGATCAAACGGGTTAAATCACGAATTCAAGACCAAAGCAGTCAGTTCGACAACAAAAAATACCAGTGAACTAAGGAATGCTGGTGTGTCAAGTGCCTAACTGTGTACCTGTATAGAACACTAACAGGCGCAGGGAGACCACATATGGAAATGAAGACTAACAAAGCAGCCCCGGAGGCATGGCTGTTACAACTCTGTCCCCATCAGGTATCGGCTAAGCGGCACACGTAGTGGCACCGAGGCCCACGCACCGAGACTTCGATTTTGATTCAATCCGCCGCATTTGCCACAAAAGGACAGAAGTCTTCACCAGACACGGCCATGTTATGACCTTTAATGACATCATGAACATCCCTGACATCACTGGAAGAACAATGCCGGACAAAACTGGCCCGTCATTCAGACTTCTCAGGTGATAGGATCAATGTAGATGTGAGGAATGCTTGGTGAGGAATCGGATACCAAAGTCGAAGCCAAGCCCGAATCATTCATCCCGCCAAATTACGCGTAAAAAAGACGACCATGAAAATACGTCCCAAAGAACAGTCAACAACAGGACCGCCCGGGCCTGCCAATACACAACACTCCAACTGCTCAATACTATCCACAGTCCCACCGCCATCTCACATAAGGCTCACGCCGTCAGCCCCCGCCCACGGCTCCAGCCCCGTACCCGTCGGCGGCGGCGGTCCCCAGCCGCTCATCCCACCCCTTCCGCGGCCCCAGCCCCGTACCCGCCGGCGGTCTCCGGCCGCCCACCCTACCCCGCCCGCAGCTCCAGTCCCGTACCCGTCGGCGGCGGCGGTCCCCGGCCGCTCAACCCACCCCTCCCGCGGCTCCAGCCCCATGCCCGTCGGCGGCGGTGGTCCCCGGCCGCCCATCCCTCCCCTTCCGCGGCTCCAGCCCCGTACCCGCCGGCGGTCTCCGGCCGCCCATCCCTCCCCGCCCGCGGCTCCAGCCCCGTACTCGTCGGCGGCGGCGGTCCCGGCGTCAGCGGCCGCCCATCCCTCTCCCTCCCGCGGCTCCAGCCCCGTACCCGTCGGCGGCGGCGGTCCCGGCGTCAGCGGCCGCCCGCGCCTGAAGCTGCAGGATGAGCTCCTTCAGCGCGGCCGGGTCGTCCTTGCGCATGGTGAAGCCCACGCTGCGTAGCACTGTCAGGATAAGGTCCACGTCCTTGGCCGAGAAGCGGTCGGCCAGGATCTTCAGCACGTCGTAGATGACGCCGCTGTCGGTGACCTGCCAGAGGCAGCTGGCGGGTCAGCCGGGCCCTCAGCCCGCGCTGGGGGACGGCTACCGACGCTGGTGGCGGAGCTGACGCAAGATGAGGACGGAATGATTGGATTCACCCTAGAAAATTGGATGGTACGCCAGGGGGACGGGGGACGGTAATGATAAGACGCGGGAAGCGAAGATAAACAAGCTAAAAACGTGTTCCCGCTACTTTGTGAGACACGGTTCAACTTCTTGGCGTGAGGTTGAGAAACATCGTCGAACGTGCCTATGGTCACATATGGAATAGAACGGCTATATATACCAGGCCTTCTTTCAGAGTATGAAGGCTTATATACATCCTAGATGGCACGGAAAGTCGAACAGGACTGCACCAAGCGGTGACACGGACAAGACTCGCCGTCGATTGGCTGGTCATTCATTTCGCAAACATTTCCGGCCTCCCGAACCATAAGACTTTCAACGTTATCGGCGTCCTTTGAAAGGTGGTCGACAAACCATCGCGTACAAACCAATGGCACACGGGCTGCCAAGATCGAAAAAAAATTGTTGCAGTACCGATGCAGATGCAGAGCCAGCCAGACGCGCCCAGAACACAAGCAGCCAGCTAACGTACCCTGAACGTGTACAGATGGGCGAGCAGCATCACCAGGTTGTCCAGCTCCTTGCTTTCGTCGTCACGGTCCTCCGACATCAGCAGCTTGTGGAACTGCTGAGCCGTCTTCAGCAGGAAGTGAGCACCTGCAGACGAAAGTCCGTCATAGTTTGCTCCACGGTCCCTGTCACCAAGGACATCGGACATAGCACACTTGCACTGGTCGGCCACGCGTCCGTGTTTGCCCGTGCTGCGCCGGCTGCGTGTCCAGCCGGGTCAGGTTCTGCCAAGGCCTTCTCTTCAGACGGACGACCGAGCGATCATGAACTACGAGTTCATAGCTGCATGACGTCACTGACGGCCGACTGATGGCCTCGGCACAGAGAAACCCCCATCCTCCGGTACCGCTGCCTCCCCCCGCGCCGACACGCGCGCGCCTCGGCGTCGACTGACCCCTGCTGCTGCTCGCTGCCGCTGCTGCTGCCCTCGCCGCTCGCGCCGCCGCGCAGCCGCCGTCCCGCCGCCACACTCACCGACCTCGGTGCCGACGTTGGCATGCAGGGCTGCCACCAGCATGACGTGCTCCATGAGCAGGCGGTCGGGCCGCGCCGCCGCCGGTGACACGCACGCCTCGTGTACTAGCTGCGTCAGCGCCTGGCTGGTGTCGTGGCGGCTGTGGCCGGCGTACAGCTCCTCCAGCAGCGCCAGCACGCCGCGCGCGCTGCGCGCCGACAGCCGGTTCAGCTGGCCTTGCAGCCGGCGGCGCAGCAGCGCCAGCTCGGCCCGCTTGTCGCCGCTCAGCGCCATCTGCTGGGCCCGCAGCGCCGGCGGCAGGTAGCGGCCGGCCGTCGCCGGGCCACCGTCGCCGGCGTCGGGCGGGACGGCCCCCGACGAGCCGGTCTGGAGGAGCCCGGCGGGGCGTCAGTCAGGGGCGGCGGGAACGTTCGAGGGGCAGAGGCGCGCGCTGCCATGTGATCAGAGCATGGTTCGTCGCACATTACTCTCGTATTTTGGTATTGCTGCGAACTACATCAGCGACCTGTTGAGCACCAACTTTCCACATTTTTGAACTGCACATTACACCCCCTACACAGGAGGCACAAAACTAATAATGCACAAAAAGCGATCTAATTGACGACGGGCACACAAAGCACAGTAACAAGACTTCAGAGACGTTCATGACTTACTCCGGTCAAAACTGAACCATCCTTGCCACGCAACCTTCCGTATATGTCTTCCCATACGCCGTCATTGTCCGTGTCTTGATTTTCATTTATCCGCTTTTTCTTCTTAGACTTCTTCGTCTCATTCAGCGCGAGGTCCTCTTCTCCCACATCTTCGATCAGTTTTCGTTTCCGTTCATTCGCGGGCCTTTTTAAAGATCCACTTTTCTTTCCAGCGGTGACGGAATCTGTTTCGGAAGCACCTTCATCAACCTCATCAGCAAATTCTCCCTCACTTTCATCGGACGAACCCTCGGTAATGGCTTCTTCGTCACCAGAGCCCTCCTCATCAATTTCCTCATCTTCACCATCATCATCATCATCATCCTCACAACTATTGTCTTCTGGGTCAGCGATGGTGGCATCAGCAGCAACTGTGTCCGGTTCGTCTGAATCAGAACCGCTGTCTCGAACGAAGCCGTCCATTCCCTCTGCGTCACTATCCAGACCTCCTTCTCCATCACCCGTGCCATCATCACTGCCGGCATCGTCACTAAACGACTGTTCAGCACCTTCTTCGGACTCAGCCTGGCCTTCACCGCCTGAGGCGCTATCTGGCTGATCTTCTTCCACTTCAACAGCTTGGCCACGTGCCGCATCTGTCACCATGGCCAGATCTTCCTCGAAATCGTCCTCGTCGTCTTCAAAAGTGGGCTCCTGAAGCTTCAGGTCCTTGAGCTTCTCCGGATCGGTGACGTCCAGAAGATCTGATCCGCATTAAGGCAAATAATCACGCACTAAAAAATATACAAGCTTCGTTTTGTTCTCATCACTGTCAGCTGGAGGACAGGCGCACAGCATATTTATGACTGCATTATGATAGACGATGATCGAATACTGCCCATCCAACAAGTTTAAATAATGTAGCACACTAGAGTAATGTTAAAAATGGATCTATTTCACACTGAATGTGACATTCGGGACGGAAATCATTCCGACTGATGCGACTTGGAAGGGACGAGCGGGTAATGGTCGTACAGGTCACACAGGTACAGGTCATCACCCCAGACATATACAGATGTTTTAGTTCATTCACAGAACCTCCAAACTAACCACACATTATATGCATTGAAAAGGATACAGTCCAGACCATCGGAAACAAATGTTTTCGGGAGTGATGGCGTCTTTCCTTTCTTTCGCCTCTTGTTCATTTTCATTAACGTTGCCAGGTGCTTAATTTGTCTTTCTTCCGCCTTATTTGCCTCTCGAAGCTGTGCATTCCTAGCTCGCTTTTCAGCTCCCTTCCTTTTCTCAGCCAGAACACCACTTTTTTCTCTGGCTTCACGAATTTTCTCAACCAAAGTTTTCTCCTGGCGCCGTGGTTTCTTCACTGGCTCATCATCTGGCTCGAGCTGTTTGGCTTGTGGCTCAGTTTTTTCACTCAGACCGACAAGAGGATCGTCCTTAGGTTCCTTCGGAATCGTGAATGGATGCTTTGGTGCTTCCTTCTTAAATCTCTTAAAGTAATGCTCATTCTTCTTCACCTTTTTAAGTGTTCTCTGTTCTTTCCGTTTCTCCTTCCTTGATTTCTTCCGAGATCCTCCAAGTCCCACCTTCTTCTTGCCCATGATCTGTTCTATTTAATGCACTTATGTGATAACAAGCTGCCTTTTTGAATACCTGAAATATTTTCATAAACTCCATTAGCCCTCAGACTACTGCCGCAAGACATGCTTGTTTGGCCCACAATTCACCAACCACATTTCAACATACCACCATTCCTGATGAAATGGTGGGATCAGAGGCAATCATGATTTCACTTGTTTATTTCCATGCAACATAATAAGATCAATTTTAAATATTGCCATATGTACATATCTGCTTCCTCTCTACCCCTCCACAATCTCCTTCTCCCTGATGCCCCTGCCATCCCTGTTATCACTGAATGTGTCAGTGCACCTGTCAAGCCAGAACTTTGAGTTGCATAGTGTAAGCATAGTCCTATTCATCTTCTGGGAGGCTTTGCACCCACAGTATATGTTTGGCACAGCCTGCCATTGGCAGCCTTGCACTGTATAAAATACAGCCTGACAGGTACAAAATGAACAAAATTTTTGCTACTTCAACAGCTCTTTCTATTGTTCCTCATTCTATAACAAACTGAGAAACAAATATGGTTTCTATACCAAACTGAGAAACAAATGAGGTCCCTATATCAAACTGAGAAACAAATAAGTTTCTGGACATAGATATCTCACATGACATAAAATGGCTTGTTCATGGGACTGGACCAGCAGGGGACTCAATCAGCAGTTTGTGGGAATCAATGAGCAATCAGCATACATTTTGCCATCATCACAAACTGTTGTTTAGGAAACCACCAAGCAGGGAATTTGTTGAGATCAGGAAGGCAAAGAAATGAAGAAATGAAAATGGTGTTACTCGACATAAAAACATTTACACATATGCTTATTACTGAATGTATTAGATAGGCTTCCTGTACAGTTAAACAAAATAGGTGAGCAGGGACAGTCAATGCCACAATAGACCCTAGTGCAAGACTGAATGTTGAAAATCCATGAAAAGATCATGTTACTGTTCTGAGCCCTTTTCACTTAAGACCTAACAGCATGGTAATAACCACTAGTCATCCTTGACAGTGATATGGCCAGGACCTTAGCAGCATTCACAGTTCACACACAGCAATAATAATGGTACCATGTAAGTCATCCTATCCCAGTAATGCATAAATGCTTCTTCTATGGTAACTGACATGCCATACTGATTTAACAGCCCACCAACCAATGGGTTTACAGAGTGCTTTGGCCAAGGCAACATCCACATATAAGTATGCCAACTTGATCCATGATCATGAAGTTATGATCTCACTACATCCTGAAATAAAAATTGTTAGCTAGTAGGTACCAAACACTGACAGGCGTCATCAAACTGGCAGGTACCAATGCCAAATGCAATGACTTCAAGACTGCTCTGAAATGCGAGGCCCCCTGGGGTAGGTAAGGTACGTTTCATTCCTTGCTAAAGGAAGCCAGTTGTCTGACACCTACTTAGATATCTATTAGGCTACAGTCTGGGGCAAGTTTGTGAGTGAATGAATGGGCCTTCTCCCCTTTAGATCTTCCATTTCCACAGATGATTGAAATTGATTTGTATATCTATACATTATACTGAATGATAGTGGTCCCCTCAAAAATGTGATAACTGAATGTTGAAAACACAAGGTCATGTAAAATTATTGCACATGATGGGCCCTGGTACTCTACGCAAACATAATTCCACTGCATTTTCATTCAAAGTTTGATGAGGTAAGATGAGGATCTACAGCCCAAATGGCAGGTCACAAATCCCATTCCAGGAGCATCATGACAGTGGAGCATGTGATACATTACAATAAAGAGAGCTTGATCAAATCAGATGTCACAGGCCCAAGTGGCCTTTAAAAACTGAATACTCAAGGTACACGGAAAAGAACTCAGAGCTCCATAGTTAATGGCCTTACAGTGGGAAGGCGTCAACTATGCCCTAAAAAATGGCAAAATATATTTTATTACCCTGTAATAACTTGAATGATATTAGTTTTCACCAATACTGGGTTTATGTCCCCCTCCTCCCTCTAACGCAGCCCATTACACGGACTCACGCAGCCACAATGCTCACAAATGCAGTAGCTAACTGTACCGCCGGTATGAAAAACGAGTCGCACATGTAATGTCTGTTAAGCGCAGTGTTTGGCGCTTAAATTGGGATACCAAATATTGAAAAAATTTGCGCTCAAAGGATAACAGCCGAAGTAGTAGGACCAGGCTGAGAGAACGAGGTTCATAGAGCTCCCATGACAAGGGAGGCGCAGTTTTGATCGCAGTTCTGTTGGGCCGTCCGGCGTCCTGTTCGGGCCTCATCGAACGCTGCCCTTGGCCGGCTCGGGGCCCCTTGTGAGCACAGGACCCTCCGTTCAACCCTGTGTGCCCCTGGCAGATATGGTGCCCCGGCCGGTGTAAATCACTGGCCCCGGCTTCGCCCCCCCGTGAGGCACTACCTTTCCGTGGTGGGGGGGGATTGCGTGCCCCAATGATCCTGCGGGCGGTTGGGGAGGCTTGTAAAGCGCCCCTTCCGGCCAAAGAGGAGGGGCCAGACGAAACGTGCCTCCCGCAAGGGCTCTGACTCGTTCAGAGTAGGGATTAGCAACCGCTCGGCCCCAGCTTCTCAGTCTTATCTGGGTCTCGCCGTACCCCGTTGGGTCCGCAGGTAGTGATGAATGGATCCTGGTCACTGAGGGAGTTGCCCTGCGGGTCAGTCGGGGCAGCTTACCAACACGTGGCTTTGGCCCGAATTTGTGATCCTGCGGATGCCTCGTGAAGTCTCCACACGAGGAAATTGGCTGGTCAGGCGTCGTGTTTTCGTGACACTGGCTTGGAGGCAAGCAGGTCATGTGACGGGTGTTGAGGGGGGAGCTGCCGGGTGCAGTGTCTGCCTCTTGACATCATTAAAGGGGCCGTACCTCGGTTTGTCACCAGGGTGCCTGGTTAGCACCTGCGAACCGAGGCACTGGCGCCCGCAGACACGTGCCTGGTGGATCTCGCAGCAACTCTTTTGGCACACTGGCCTGCGTATAGCGTGCTGGTAGCCCTGGCGGCTCCTCTCTTAGAAGTGGACCGTCCCCGTGTTGGGCTCCGTGGTGGGCGGGGAATCAGCGCGCCGAATATAAACGCATACTTATGGATACTTTATCATCAGCCAACCCCCCAAACCCCGACCGTCGTCCACTACCCCAGTTTCTGGTCGTAAGATCCGCCAAAGTAGATGACCAAGGAAGGACAGTACCGCTCCGACTAAGCCCATTTCAGCGGCAACAAGCATTTTCCAAGATCGGGACGCCCAAGGATGTCTTTTCGTATGCGGACGGAGGCATAGAAGTGCATCTAACAGGCGACCGCGAAATCCAGCGCATGCTTAAAACGACCACACTTATGTACAAAGTGCGAGGACAGGGAGAGGTTAGGGTGCTCGTATCGGTGCACCCCCACCCCTCTAAGAACTACTCCAAGGGTGTGATTACTTGCCGGGACCTTCGCGGCGTGAGTGATGAGGATGTTGCTGAGGGCTTGTGTGAGGAAGGGGTGACGGCGGTGAGACGTATCAAGAGGAGAGAGAGAGGAGAGCTGACCGATACTGACTCAATTATTCTGACGTTTTGCTCTGCAAGAGTTCCAGATAGGGTCCGCGTGGGATATCAGTCGGTTCCTGTTAGGGTCTATGTACCCGACCCTGTCCGATGCTACCGATGCCAGACGTATGGTCACTTCACGGACAAGTGCTGGAAAGAAGTTAGATGCGGAAGGTGTGCGGAAATAGGTCACCAACACTCTGAGTGTAAATCAGAAACCGTGAAATGCGTCAACTGTGGTCAGGGTCACGTGGCGTCATATCGCAGCTGTCAGTCCTTCTTGTCAGCGAAACCTGTCCTGAACATCAAAGTGAAGGAAGGAGTCTCGTTTCCGGAGGCCCAACGCCGACACAACGATGCGACCACGACAAGGACATACAAAGACGCCCTTACGAATCCGGCAAGAAATTTAGTCCAAGTAACACCCGCAGCCAACGAGGCACTGAAACTGAATGGACTTGGTAATTTCAAAGGCATGACTGTAGGCGAGTTTGTACAGCTGATACTAAGCACACTTGTATCAACTGGCTCTGCTGTTCCGTCGTACCGGAGGTCGGATCCTCCGGAAAAGAATCCACCTGCGGCATTGGCCGCCGCTAGAGGAGCTCAGCCTATGGGGCTGGAACCCCCTGGCGGAGCTGCCAGAGAGCCCGGGGCTGGGTCGCGACCCGGGAACGAGGGATGGACCACGGTCCAGCGAGGTCGTGGACTTCGCCCCCCCCCCCCCCCCATCATCGCACCCCGGCCCAGCCCGTGCTGAAGACACGCCCTCCCGGGCTCCATCTCCCCCTCCATCCATACCAGCTACGACGGGATTTGTCGTCGCTGGCACAGGGGCGCTACGAGAGTTGGGCCCCTCTGGCTCCCCAGATAGTGGCCCTGCCGGAAACGCCGGTCCCCCCGGCTCACGGGAACCGGACAAGGTTCGGCATCCTCCAGTCGTCGCTCCCTCCCGGAACCGCCCCTCTGAAACTGTTGTTCGTCCGGGTTCTCTGGACCTTGGCCCTGCAGGGCGCGCCGCCAGGTCGGCGTCTGCACAGCGGACGGGGGGCCGGCTCCCGCTGTCGACTCCGCCCCACTCACCGGGAGGGTCAATGGGTCCGCCTCCCATCCCTCCACCTGGGGACGGGGTTTCGGGTCGGCCTACCCTGCCTTCCCCGATGGCGGGTCGTGCAACAAAGCGTGCCCCTCCTTGGCCGACGTCGCCTACGGAGGGTGGAAGTCCCAAAGCCCGGCCAAGGGTCCGGCTTACCTCCACTGAAGTAGAGCGTCGCCAGGGAGATTTGTTTAGTGCAAAGCCCTAGGTGAACGCTTAAAGCAGATGTAAGCTGTACCGATGGATCTTAACCGTAACCCCACATACAAGCATACCTAGCATGCCAGTGACGTTTTTACAATGGAACATGCGTGGCTTGAGGGCCAACATGTCGGACCTACACACACTCTTATCTTATCGTAACCCGGTTGTGGCATGCTTACAAGAAACAAAGGTGTCTGATGACACCCAAATTAACGTCAAATGTTACAGCATCTTTCGGAAAGACGTGAGAACTGACACGATCGCCCATGGTGGGGTGGCGGTTTAAGTTCATCACAGTATACCGTGCTCTCCTGTAAGTCTTAACACTGACCTTCAAGCTGTTGCTGTCGTCGTCGACCTTGGGTCGCTGAGGCTGACTGTCTGTTCTATCTACCTCCCTCCTGCTGAGGAAGTACCGGATTCGACACTACAGTCCACCTTTGATCAGCTTCCATCGCCGTTCTTGTTGCTAGGTGACTTCAACTCCCATAGCCCTTTGTGGGGCTGTAGTCACACAAGCCGCTGAGGCCGACATCTTGAGCGTTTGCTGAATACAAATAATCTTTGTGTTGTTAACACCGGCCGGCATACCCATATATCTCTGCCGTCCAGCACTACTTCAGCGATAGATCTTTCTATCTGCTCCTCGTCCCTTTTCTGTCGGTTGTCTTGGTTCGTTGAGAGCACTACATATGGGAGCGACCATTTCCCAATATGGCTTGGGATGAATGCTGGACACCCAGGCAGGAGGCCTTCCTGCTGGAACCTTCGACGTGCTAACTGGCAAAAGTTTACTGATGAGTGCCATATTAGAGTGCAGCCGACCGAGGACGACAATGCAACGTCTCTTGCACAACAAGTGACATCCACAATTGTCGACACTGCAAGGTCTTGCATTCCCTTGACATCACCTGAGCCGCGCAGGATCCCTGTTCCCTGGTGGTCAGAGGACTGCAAGGCGGCAATTCTCAAGCGAAAGCGGGCGTTCAGGGTTTTTAAGCGTTCTGCAACGACCAACAACCTCATCGCTTTTAAAAAGGCCAGAGCATTTGCGAAACGCACAATATGTGAGGCAAAGCGTACATCATGGAGAGAATATGTAAATGGTTTAAATCGTCACACCCCAATGAGTGCAGTGTGGCAGCGAGTTAGTCGCACTTCCGGTAGGAGCGTCTCCACTGCAGTTCCGGTGTTGAAAGTGGCGGGAATCACGATATTGAACACACAGGAAGTTTCCCACAAAATAGGTCTCGCATTTGCAGAAAGGTGCCGACATGGAACAGACGACCCACGCTTTATTCGTTACAAGGAACGAAGTGAGAAGACGGCAGTCAATTTTAGAATTCCTGACTCAGAGATTCATGAGTACAACCAACCGTTCACTGTCATGGAGCTCTGCACTGCTCTTAAGAGAGCTAAGAGTGTGTCGCCTGGATTGGATAAAGTCCACAATGTTATGTTGAATCGCCTAAAGAAGGAGTCCCTCCATGCCTTACTCTCACTTTTCAACTACATATGGTTGCAAGATGACTTCCCGGAGTCGTGGTGGGATGCCATTATAGTCCCGATACGGAAGCCCGGAAAGGATGGTTCCGATCCACTGCACTACCGCCCAATTTCGCTGACTTCATCCCTATGCAAAGTGCTAGAGAGGATGGTGAATGATCGTCTCATGTGGTACCTTGAAACCCACGGCTGTCTTTCCAAAGCGCAATGCGGGTTTCGGAAGAACCGATGAACTGTTGACCACTTAACGATCTTAGACACAGCTATACGACATTCTTTTAAACAAAGACGTCACACGATAGCAGCCTTCTTTGACATTGAGCGGGCTTATGATACCACCTGGCGCTATGGCATTCTTAGCAAAGTACACAAGTGTGGACTCCGAGGTCACATGGCACTCTTCACTGAAAACTTTTTACGTCGTCGATTCTTCCGCGTCCGAGTGGGTGGCATACTATCTGATCGCTATGAACAAGAGGACGGTGTTCCCCAAGGGAGCGTCCTTAGCGTAACCCTGTTTGCGCTGATGATCGATGATATCGCCGACTGTCTGCCACCTACCGTCAGTCGGTCACTGTTTGCGGACGACTTTGCCATCTGGTGTGCGGCATCCACAACGACGTCTGCTGAGAGGCAGCTTCC